ATGCAAGGCATGCGCTCTACCACTGAGCCACCTTCCCAGCCCTCATGGACTTTCTTAACTCACCTGCTTTGAACAGTGATCCTCAGATCTCCTCCTTCTGAGTATTTAGGCTATCAAGTGTGTACCTGGCTGTTCATTGGTTTATTGATGGACAGTTTTTTTGTCTTAGTCTTCTCTGCCCTTTGCTTTAACCTAGTGATGCTTAAGAACAAAATCTATATGACATAGCCGGGAAGATGACATCAATTATTACTGCTGATATAAAATGTTGTAAAGAAAACAAATAGCTTTCAACCAAAATTTCAGATAATTTGGGGTTAAACTTTTCACAGGAACATTTTAAATTAAATCCTTGTCAAACTGGAGGCATGATTGACAAATATTTTATCAGCACATGCTCCAAACCTTTCAAATGATTTTGGGATATTGATAAACTTTCCTACTTCAACATCTCACTCAATTCTTTTCTAACACCTGCTATTCCCAGAAGTTAAGTAAATGTTAAAACCTTGTTTCTGAGTTAAAAGTTTTGTCAGATCGTTCTATAATTTTGGGTATGTCTGACAGGGACAGGTCAAGACTTCCTTGTGGCTCATGAGGATTGAGATGGTAGTATCCAGCTGAACATAAGTAAGAAGACTATAGTTTCGACTTTTAAAATGATAATAGATACATTCTGAAACTGAATGTGAAGGATTTTAGATACCTGGAGGATTGCTTTAGCTTTGGTGTTGCATTTGTTTTGAGAATGTTTTTATGGTTTAGAAAGGCATATCTTTTAAATAAGGAAAGGAAAGGAAAGGAAAAAAGATCTATACATTAACAGATTCATTTTACAAATCAAAATATTTATATTAGCCTTTTTTTCTTTTTTCTTTTTTTTGGTCATGGGGCTTGAACTATGGTTCTCAGTGCTTTCCCTAAGATCTTGGGTTCAAGACTAGCACTCTGTCACTTGAGCCACAGCACCACTCCTGGTTTTCTGGTGGTTAATTGGAGATAAGAGTCTTATGGAATTTCCCCCATGGGTTGGCTTTGAACCATGATCCTCAGATTTCAGTCTTCTGAGTAGCTGGGATTATAGGTGTAAGCCATTGGTACCCAGCTATCTTTTTGTTTTAATAAAAGTTATTCTGTGTGTAGAAACTATATAGAAAAACTGCATAGAAATTGTATATAGAAACTGTATAGAAAAACTATTCTGTGTATGGATGAAATACACACATCTAGGAAAAATGCCCACATTTTCAGTGACAATTTCTTAGCATATTTTTTAGAGCAATTGATTGATGTGTAATAGTTAATTTGTGGTATATTTATATAAAAATGTAACTCATTTTTTATGATTGATTTAACTTGGATTTTTTTTCACTTGTAATCAGCCTGAATCAAGACTTCTTAAATGAAAAGACTGGATTGAAGGCAACACTTAAGGAAGCTGAGCTGGCAGCCTGTTCTGTAGAATTACTTTTGCCATTATTTAAGAACACCGTTGAAGGAATCCGTATAGACAATGTGAGTATTTGATTTACAAACATTTAAAAATGTAAAACTACCATAGTTATAAAAGCATTAACTGAGGTCTCATTCTAAATAAGTGTGTTCATATGTGACAATTTAATACCCAAGTGGTATTTATAATGTTCTTTATTCCTGTGTCAATAACTGTAATTCTTTCCATAAAGGAAACATATTTTGGTGGTTGACTTACTTGGCCTTGAACTAAAAAATAATTTTAGAATAAAACTTTCTGGGTAGAATTAAAGTCTATTTTCAATCGTATTATTTGGAATAATAATTTTAAAACATACCATACAAGTTTGAGTTAAGGACCAAAATAAATTATATTCTATAATCCTTAGAATAAATACTGAACTGTGTTTAGAATGTAGGTCTTAGTTATTATTTTATTGATCATGCAACAGATTCTACCTACTATTAATAAAGTTGGAATATTTACTATTACTTTATGCAAAAGAATGACTTAGTTACTAGACAAACTATTATTTGATACTACTGTATTTTAGAATGTTTTACTTAATGCTATGTATTAAAATATGTTCTTATATTTTATCAGCCTAACCTTTCTACATCCAGTTTGAAGATTTCTGAACAGAAGAAAATATTAACAAAAGAATTAGATACTTTTAAACGTGTACAACTGGCCTTAGAACATTTTAGAAAGACAGACTACAAACAAGTAAGACTTGACCCTATATACTCATTTAATACTAAGTTTCTCACTTGAAAGAAACTTGATTTTTCTATCCATAAAAAATTAAATATTTGTGTATTTGAAGTGGAAATAATTCTTTGAATTTTTGTTAGAAATGTTAATCATTATACTTTTACTTTTTTTTGTTTTTTTGTTTGGTCATGGGGCTTGAACTCTGGGCCTGGGCACTGTTCCTCAGCTCTTCAGCTCAAGGCTAGTGCTTTACCACTTGAGTCACATGATACTTCCAGTTTTCTGGTGTTTTATTCGAGAGGTTAGCTTTAAACTGCAGTCCTCAGATCTCAGTCTCCTGAGTATATAGCATTACAGGCCACCAGTAGCCACCAGTGAGCTACCAGTGCCGGGCTTTCTCTTACTTTTAATGTTTGACAAATAGCTTTACATAAAACAAACATTTTTTAATAGAAAATGTATTTTCATTTCCTGTCCAACAAAATACATTAAACTATATCCTATCCAATTAAAATATATTTTAATTTCCATAATTTGTTGTATTTCATGTAGCTGATTAGCTGGTTACAACAAAATAAACACTTTTAGAGCTTTAACTCTATGTATACTATACTTATACATGCATAATTTTGTTGTTTCTCTTTTTGGAGGTGTTGGTGATTGAACCCAGCCCTGATGATTGAATTTAGGACCCTTCCCCCATGTTTGCTAGGCAGATGCTTTAACACTGAGCTATGCCTTCAGCCTCTTTTTCCATTGCTTATTTTCAAGGTAGAGTGTTTCTTTATAAAAAGTCCAGGTTGAGCTGGGTGCTGGTGGCTCATGCCTGTAATCCTAGCTACTTAGAAGGCTGAGATCTGAGGATCATGGTTCAAAGCAAACCCAGGCAGGAAAGTCCATGAGACTCTTACCTCCAATTAGCCATCAGAAAACCAGAAGTGGTGTTGTGGCTCAAGAGGTATAACACTCGCCTTGAGCTGAAGAGCTCAGGGACAGCGCTGAGGCCGAGTTCAAGCCCCACAACCGAACAACAACAACAAAAAGTCCAGGTTGGCTGGGCTGTGATTCCCTGTGTCACCAATCACTAATGCATGCACTGCACCCATTCTGGGCTTTTCTCATGGCTGGGTTAACAGACATATTGTACGTTTACCATTCAGTGATTGAAATGATAGTTTTTCAAACTGTTATGAATAGGTTAGCTTCAAACTGCAATCCTCCAATCTCTGCCTCCTAAGTAGTTAGGATTATAGACTTGGGCCACTCTATCCAATTCACATACATGTATTTTTAAATTAAAAAAATTTGTTCATAAAAGACATTTTACATGTTGATACATTCTAGTGCTTTGATGGCTGCATAAAATACATAAAATACTTAAATATAGCTCCTCAAATATCTATTGTCTTTCCATGATGAAAAGTTTTATCTTCTGTCTTTTTGAATTGTATATACTACATTATTATCTATAGTCGTACCAGTTACTACAATAGCAGACCAGAATTACTTATTCCAACTAAAACTTAATACCCGTTGGATAGTCTTTACCTAGCCTTCCCTCCCTATTACCATTCCCCCCAGCCTCTGGTAACCACCATTCTACACTCAACTACTAGGAAATCAACTTTTATATTCTATATATGAATGAGGTCATGTATTTGTTTCTGAGCCTGGCTTATTCCAGTGAAGTATGTATCTCTATTGCCATTTATGCTGTGGTGAATGAAAGTCTCATATATTTTTAATAGCTAAAAGGATTCCTTTGTATATATGTTCACATTGTCTTTATCCATTCATTAGTTGATGAACAGTTAGGTGGTTTCCATTTCCTGCCTATTGTGAATTGTGCTGCACTTAATTTAACATGGCAGGTATCTCTTTGGCATACTGATTTCACTTTGTTTGGATATATACCTATGAGTGGCATTGCTGGATTACGTGGTAGTCTGAGTTTTGTCGTTGTTGTTGTTACTGCTCCCTGATACTTCAAAAAAATTGCAGAGTGGTTACAGTTATATAAGTCAGGTAATGAGTATATTTCTTGTTTTCTTTTTCTTTCTTTTTTTTTTTTTCTAGTCCTGGGGCTTGAATTCAGGGCCTGGGTACTGTTTTTTATCTTCTTTTGCTCAGAGCTAGCACTCTACCACTTGAGCCACAGTGGCAATTCTTGCTTTTTCTGTGTATGTGGTTCTGAGGAATCTAACTGAGGGCTTCATGCATGCTAGTCAAGCACTCTACCACTAAGCCACACTCACAGCTACATTTCTTTTTGAACAGTGTCACCCCTTCCCTCGTTTTCTCCTAGCCTTCCTATCCCCTAAGTTGTATAGTTCATTTCCAGCATAAAATCTGATTTTTTAAGGAACCTAACTCCTCACTGTCTTTGCTAATTGTTGTACTAACTTACATTCTTACTATGAAAGAATTTCCTCTTTTTTCCCCATATTCTTGCCTAATACCTTGTTATATTTTTATTTTTTGATAATAACTATTTTTACTGGAATGAAGCAATACTCATTATGGTCTGAATGATGAGATGTTGAGCATTTTTTTCATGTACTTGTTGGCTGTTTGTATGTCTTTTTTTTTTAGGTGAATTCACTTAGACCTATTATCCATTTTAAAATAGTTTTATATGTACATGTAAATACACTTTTGTATGAAAAGAATGCATAGCTTTTTCATATGCTCAAGCAGGAGCCTGTCCATCAAGGTTGGAATTTATAATTTCGCTTAATCATAAATAGCATTGCATTGAACCCATTTTGTAAATTAATTTTTTTGTGTGATTAAATAAAACCCAAAACTGCTGCTGGGTGCTGGTAACTCATGCCTGTAATGCTTGCTACTAAGGAGGCTGAGATCTGAGGATCACAGTTCAGAGCCAGAACAGGCAGGAAAATACATGAGACTCTTACCTGCAATTAACCACCAGAAAACCAGAAGTGGCGCTGTGGCTCAAAGTGGTAGAATGCTAGCCTTGATCTGAAGAGCTGAGGGACAGTGCCCAGGCCCAGTGTTTAAGTCCCACAACTGACAAAAGAAAAAATAATTCTGTTGTTGGCTTATAATTTCTGATGAATTATTTGGGATTTAGAAAATTAGTTGTATAAATTACAGGCAAATATATTTTGGAACATACAGTCTAAACTTTCTGATAACTATTCTAGAAATTTGTACTATATGTAGTAGTTGTCCATGTAAATTTTTTAAATGATATTTGTTCTACGTTGTTTTCCTTTTTTTTGGTCTGTTTCTACGATTTGAATTCAGGGCTTGGGCACTATCCATAAGCTGTTTTGCTCAATGCTAGCACTGAAATACTTGAATCACAGTTCTACTTCTAGCTATTTTGGTGGTTAGTTGGAGATAAGAGTCTCATGGACTTTCTTTTTTTATTTTTAATGTAGAAAAATAAAGTTTTTGTACATTGATTTAAAACCTCCTTTCTTCACAGGCAGGAGATAATTTACCCAGCATGTTGTTAAAGAACTTAACTGATAATGAAAGTGAAAATATTGTAAGTTTTTCTTTTACTTTGTATCTGTTCCTTTCTTTTCTCCCCTCCCTCCCTTTTTCCCTCCCTTTCTTCTACCCCCCTCTATTTCTCTGATTATTTGTGTGTCAGCCATTATTATTCAAGTTATTCTTTTATTTGCTGCAGAATCTTAAGAAGAAGGTTCTGGAAAAGGAATCGTATATTCAAGAACTTTCATGTTTATTTCAGAATGAAAAGGTTAGTAAAGTTTGAGCTTTGGACTTAACTTGTCAGATTTTCTTAATATTGACTCCCTTGTTCCTTCTTCCCATCCTGGTTCCATATCCTCAGAAATATATACAGGAAAGGCTTTTTTTAGTTTAGATTATTTGTGTATTTTATGTTGATATATTAGATTTCTCTATATTTAAGGGTTTTAGTCAGGACAGTTGGCATAAGTTATTACAAATTAGGAACTCTGCATAAATTTGTATTGTTTTTCAGTTTGGGAACAGATTAAGGAATTTGGGTGTTTGTAAGAGAATGTTAGACCTGTCCAGAGCTGTACATAGGAGGTTAGATGGGAAGTTTTACAAAGATAATTATCAGGAAGTATTAAGTAAAATGTAGATAGTAGAGAAAACGTACTTGTACAAGAAATGTATTTGTAGTTGGACAGTAATTTATATAAAGTAGACTTTGCTTTTTATCATCATTTTAGTTTCTAAATGGGGTAAAACTAATGATATGAGAAATAAAGCAAATAACATTTTATTGTTTCTTCTCTTTTACAGGCTAATGCTTTGAAAGTAAACCGCTTTTCTCAGTCAGTGAAAATAGTACATGATCGACTACAGGTCCAGATTCATAAAAGGGAAGCAGAAAATGATAAATTAAAAGACTACATAAAGGTTTTAAATATTTATTCATTTTTATAGTTTAAGTGAAATTAATAAAACTGTAAAGCCCTTCCTTCATTGTGGAATGTGGTAATTATGAAAGAACTTGAGTCCTGCCATAGGACATATTTATATTAAAGGTAAATATTAATAGAAAATTTCAAGATTTTCCTAAAATTTAGGTTCAAATCAATATATCAAATGATATCTCTTTTTAATACCAATTTAGGAAGGATTTGTAGCAGTTGATTTACCTTAAATATCTTTCTCTTGATACAGTTAAGTTTCCTGAGAATAATTTATAATAACTAGAAAGCAAAAGCTGAGTCCTGGTGGCTTATCCCTGTGCTTGTAGCTACTTGGTAGAGTGGGATCTGAGTATTGTGATTTCAAGCTAGCCCTGGGCAGGAAAACCCACAAGACTCTATCTCCAATTAACTACCAAAAAAGCTGGAAGTGGTAGAGTACTGGCCTTGTGCAAAAAAGTTCAGGGATAGCACCCAGGCCCTGAGTTCAAGCCCGGGACTGGTACAAAGCTGAAACAAAATGAGTAGGAAACAGAAATAAAGAAATAAAGCAAGAAATAAAAAATATCACAAAATACTGAAACTACTGCCAACCATCTGGCATAAATTAATCCAATTTCATTTCTGTGTCTTTAGATACATAATCTCACACATTCCTAATGGACAGGCAATAAAATTTAAAATTAATCTAGCCTTGATACTCAAATAATTTAGTAATTTCCTTTGCAACAGGACAATCAAGGGAAATTTTTTGGTTTAATTGTGCTTTTGCAGTCAAAGTCAACTTTAAGGATTTGAGATGACTGCCATGTATTGAAACCTAACTGGATCCAGTGTTTTGCGAAAGGAAAAGAAGCAATATTTCTACTTTCATGGCAATGCACAGACTGAGAGCCTCTTAAGCATGAGGCCTTCTGTTAGATTTTTGCTTGTTTATCCTCCTGAATCATAGCACATATCTACAACCTGTAGCACACATTTTAACACTGTGCTCAGGTTAAAATTTAGTTTTTTCTTTGACAGCATTTGCCCTTAAACAAATATATGGAAGATGTAAACTTTGCCCTTTGTTCTGCTCCATGTTCTTTGAAGTACTGTCCTCTCTAGATTCCCTGTATACTTTGCATGCTGAGTGCTAATCCACTGCAGATGAAAGGTGTTTGGTATAGCAGTGCTTAGTGATAGTGAATAGTGAAAGGGAATAGTGGTGAGCTAACCTGTCTGATAATCATCTACCACTGATTAACTTACAGTTTAAATAATGTCCTCATATAGCAATTGGGAACATTTTTAAGAATATAGTTCCTTCAATTTATAAGTGCAATATGGAAATATAGAATGTGTTTTATTTTTTGGCTGGGATTTGAACTCAGGGTCTGTTTACTAAGCTGACCCTCTACCATTGAGCCAAACCTCCCACCATAGGGTCTGACTTCCCATCCAAGCTCATACCTAGATTGTAATCACCTACTTTATGATTGCTGGAATCACAGTTGCAAACTACTGTGTCCAGCTCCCTCCATGGAGGTGGAATATTGAGGACTTTTCTGCCTGAGCTGGCCTGAACTGCAATCTTCTCAATCTCAGCTTCTCACATAACTTGGATTTCTGACATAAGCCACTTGAGCTTGGCTTTTTAAAATGATTTTTAAAAGGCAATTTTAACAGCTATTATTATATCCTTTAGCATTTGGAGAAAGAACATAAGAAAGAACCCAGACATTTTGCCATGATAGTCTAATACTGAGGTCAATTGCTTTTCAAAAGTAGAAATGATTGGATAAAATGCTTTACTTATTTTTCTACTATTTTTTTCCATATGCACTTTTAGAATTTAAAGCATTAAGTAATCAGGGGTAACAGTTTTGATTTTAGATTTTACTCCATTTCTTTTTGAAAGCAAAAACACTCAGACTTGGGTTGATGGTACACGCTGGCAATCCCAGCTATGTGGGAAGCAGAGCTGTTGGGATTGAGGTTAGAGTCTGCCCTCAGACAAAAAAGTAGATTCTTTTTGAAAAATAAACTAAAAGCAAAAAGAGCTAAGATTATTACTTAAGTGGTAGAGTGCTTAGTGCAAGGTCTTGAGTTTAAACCCTAGCCCATTAATAAACAAACAAATAAAAACTTATATTGTAATTCTTTGAGAACTACTCCAAAGATATTTTAAACAGTTTTTTCCCAGTCTTTGAAATACAGTAGTTAGAATATTTTAAAATGCTTTTAGAAGATGGGATGAATAATTATTTGCATGGTAGGCAACGTATATATACTTGTAAACAGTAAGAGAGAGTCATTTGGCAAATGACTGAGCAGTTATTTTGAAGCTGTAAAAATAATTTGATAGTTTCAGCATACTTTTCTTTTTTTTTTTTTGTACTGGGGATCAAACTCAGGATACTCAAGTTACATCCAAGCCCTCAGCATACTTCCTGATGGTATTTGATAAGGGATTTGATAAAAAGTAGTGAGAGAATCTAATTGCCACCTTATTTTTCACACTTCTTGTGTGAATAGATTGAAGTTTAAGTGTAGCAACTACTCATGGTATGATGATGACCCCCTGTGGCTCTTTGGAGGAATAACAACTATTTATTATGGGGTATGCCTTTCTCTTTATGTTGATGTAATGTTCTACTCTTGTTTTTATGCAATATTTATTATAAAGTTTATTATAAAATTATATACATAATTATAAATGAATTATAAAATTATATATAATTATAAATAAATTATAAAATTTATTCTTAAGGATATTTTAAAATGTTTTGCTACTTCTAATTTAGTCTACCTAATCACTCTTCAGAGGTCAGATCTTATCTCAGACTTTTACTGCTTAAGAAGCATAACTTTTGTTGATCATAGAATTAAGCAGAAAAGCTTCATCTTGCAATGTAACCCCTTTGGCTTTTTGTTAAAATAACTTCCCAAGGAATTGGCGACTAAAATCCAAATTCTATGGTATTTTTCAGATTCTTTTTCTTTTTTTTTATGAATACAATATGTCTTTTTTTTTATCCCCCTCCCCCCCACCAAAGTTGTAAAGTTCGTTTTTCGACATAATGTCTTGTACATCTCATTATTGCAATGGGTCCACCTGTATCCCTATTTAAACAATTTTTTTTCTTCCTCTCCCCAAATTATACCAACATCAAAAACAGTGAAAACTGGGGTTATACCGTGGGGGGAGGAACCATTTGAGTCCTTATCTTGGGGTTCATTTCACCTAACATCAACTTGTCTCAGCCATATACTAGATATTGCAAATAAGGGAAACCATCAGACCTATGTTTCTTTGGGCCTGGCTTACTTCACTTAATATGATTTTTTCCAAGTCTTTCATTTCCTAACAAATGAGGCAATGTCATTCTTTCTTATGGAGGCATAGAATTCCATTGTGTATATATAAACCACATTTTCTTGATCCATTCATCTGCTGAGGGGCATCTGGGTTGGTTCCATATCTTAGTTATGGTAAATAATGCTGCAATAAACATAGTTGTGCTAGTAGCTTAATTGTGATCATTCAGGTAAATGCCCAAAAGTGTCAGATTCTTTTAAGCATTACAGTTTTCAAAATGTAAAAGCATTAAAATCTCAAGTGTTTACATCTTTAGATATCTAATACTCAAATACTTTCAATACAGAGTCTAAAATAATTTGAAATAAAAACATAAGACCTATAATTAGCATCATCCATCTACCTAGGTTAATATTCAGTTTTTCATACTGCAAAGATATTTGTCAAATAAATCATCCTGCCAATGATGATTGACATAATTAGTATATCATCCAACTCATTTGATTAAAGTCTATCTTGAAACATTTTTTTACCTTTATTTATATTATGGTTCTCATATTGTTAATTTATCTAAATGTGTGATCTTAGAATCAACCTTTATTTTCATAATTTACTATTCATTGGGTAAAGCAACACTTAAAAATGTAACTTCCTATTAGGGCAATAATTTTAGTAAATTAAAATTTGGTAAATAAGTCTCACGTCTGTATATATGCAGTTACCTGTCTTTTCTCTGAGCTTTGCATGCCTATGATTTTGATCATTTTCTAGCTCATTTGAGTTTTTTAAACTAATCTTTCAAACTAGTACTATGTGTTACATTTTAGATGTGAACCAAGAGAAAAAGTCAGTACCACAGATTTAGGGAAGTTAGCATTTATGCCTTTATCACCAATAATAATATGAGAATTCATTTTAGGTAGGCTTAAATCTTTTTAATTTATAGGTTTAACTGTTCACAAAGAAACTGTACATCATTATTTTGCTTTTTATTATTAGGATTAGTTGTTATAATAAAATTGGTGAAAATGATATGAATGTTCTTAAAATATTGACTAAACATTACAGTTCTGAAATAATTCTTTTTTTCATACTTTTTTTTCAGAGCATAGAGAACAAAATAGCCAAATGGAATTTGCAGCTGAAAATGAATAAACAAGAGACTGTAGCAGTCAAAGAATCAAGTCGACAAACAGTCACTGCCCTGAAAAAGGCATCGAAAATTTATCAGCAAAGGTTCAAACATTTTACAGGAGATATTGAACACCTTACTTCCCAAATTAGAGACCAAGTAAGTATAGACATTCTTTTCTAAAGATAGATTTTTCCATAGTTAATGCCTTGATGTTCAATTCATAAGAATACAATTACTATTGTAGAATTTTTACTCATAATTTTGCCTTTTAACTTTTTTATTTTATTTCCATAAAATATAAAATTTGAACTATAATAACATTTCCTTGGAAACTTTATGGAAAGGAGATTTTTAGTGTATCCCAAAATATGGGATACTGTACAGCCAGCCCAGTAAGGGTAAGGCAGGCTTCATTCCCTTTGTCCCTTGGAAAGTTACAGTACACATGAGCATACTAAAGACCCTGAGAGGGCATTCTTAAGCCCAGAGTAATGAGGATATTGAACTTAGAGTTTCCCACATTGACTTAACCACAGAACTCTTCTTTTATACACAACCCACTTTTGGAAATGGTTCTGAGAAATATCAGTTTGGGAAATGCAGATTTATGTTATTAGACCATATGATTTTATTCAGTAATCCACTTCATTTAATTTCTGTAAAGCATTTAAAACCATATACTGACGTAAACACACCATATGAAAGATATCTTTGGGTATAGTTCAAAGTTGAAAAATAGACTTAGTACTTTGTTGTTTTTTGACAAATTATATTTATTCACTTACCAGCTACTGAAATATTTATTGTTTTTAATGATTCACTAGTATTCCAACACTTAAGAACTTATGTTAAGGCTTATAGAATTATTAAAGACTTTTAGAAAGGAAAGCAGATTTGCATAAAATCTTGTGCAAAACAGTATTTTATAAGCGCAAGAGTTAACATTTTAAGGTTCTCATATTTAACCTACACTCATAAGATTAAGCTAAATAAAAGAGTGAAGGACCAGATTCAAAGTCTGCAAGACTGTAGATGTGGTTGAATAACTGAAAATATTGAGAGGTAAAGACTAATATTGTCATTGTCATACTTAAAGTTTTTCTATTGAAATAACTCCTGCCCCTTGTCAGTGCAGAAGAACTCCTCCACTCATTACTCCCATGATTTTACACAGAAAACTTAACTTGCTTAAGCTTCAATTTCTTTATCTGTAAAATGGGGGATAATAACACTGCTATCTTAGGTTATAGTAAGAAAGGATAAATGAGGAAATAACACATCTTATACTACATTTATGCTATTTTGTCTTATTTTCTAGTCCTCTAGTACAGGAGTTTGTTGTTGTTTTGTCACCTATGGCTCTGACCATCATGTTTTTTTTTTATTTTTATTTTTGTTCTGGTCATGGAGCCTGAACTCTGGGCCTGGGTGCTGTCCCTCAGCTCTTCAGCTCAAGGCTAGCGCTCTACCACTTGAGCCACATCGCCACTTCCAGCTTTTTTCTTTTTGCTTATGTGGTGCTGAGGAATTGAACCCAGGGCCTCAGGCATGCAAGGCAAGCGCTCTACCACTGAGCCA